GTTCATGGGGTCACGAAGAGTCGGACACGACTTAACGACTGAACAACAACAACAACAACTCACTAAAAACAAAGAAATATGAAACAAAGTCCATAACTTTTATTGGGTCAGCAGCATATGTATATCAATAACTTTTAATATACACATTGTAAAATAATAAAAATAAAGAAACATCAGGTTTGTCTTGGAAAGCTTCTCAGGAAGCAGTTAAATAGGCAATCAAGAATTCAGAAACTTGTGATAAGTCAGTTTTTATGGCAGTAAAGCTAAGGAGCTATTACAACAGAATTTCAGTGACATTTATACAATCAATGTTCAAATTGCTAGTGCCTCTTTTTCTTGACCACAATATATAAAGAGCCAGAAGTAATTATTTTGTGTGTAGGAGATACAGTTTCTAGTTGTCTTTTTCTATTAATAGCCTGTTCTAATACAGTTTTCTTTCAACCATGTGAGAACTAACTTTTTCAAGAAACCATCATCTGTACGTTTATGAATGCATTCAGCCCCATAGACCTAAGCAAAACAGTTTGGCTTTTTAAATTTTATTTATTTATTTATATATCAAATTTGTCACCACCCATCTCGTTAAAAAAAATGACTCTGGGTGGTTTACAGAAGGGCTAAAATCAGTTAAAAATACAGTATAAAATAGACCTAAATAAATAAGAAATAAATATAGTCCAAGAGTTGATGTTAATTGGCAAGTAGCTTGGTGAGTGTCATCAAGGCACTGGCCATCCCCAGGTTTGATTAAAATTCTTGTTGCACCACACAAGCTGGCAGAGCCAGGTCTTTAGTCCTTTCCGGAAAGCCGGGAGGGTGGAGGCCCGCCGCACCTCTGGGCGGGTAGAGGCCTGCAGCACCTCCAAAGGGCAGAAAAGGCTCTCCTCCTCGGCTCCGCCAGCTGACATTCTCTTGCTAACAGAGTCCGTAACATGCCCTCTCTGCCTGACCGGGTGGGACGGGTTGATGTGATGGGGGTGAGGTGGCTCTCAGGTAACCTGCCCATGCCATGCAGGGCTTTAAAGGTAATAACCAACACCTTGAATTGGACCCAGAAGCAAACTGGGACCCAACGCAGCTCCCGCAGCAAAGGTGTTATATGCACCCTTCTTGGGGCACCCAAGATTGTCTGTGTGGCCGCATTTTGAACCATCTGTAGCTTCCGGATACTCTTCAAGGGTAGCCCATGCAGAGCACATTGCAGTAGTCTAACCGAGAGATGACTAGGGCATAAGTGACTGACTAGAGAGCCTGCTGATCGAGGAAAGGGAGTAACTGGCACATCACAAAAGTTGGCCAAAGACCCTCCTGGACATGACTGCCACCTGCTCCTCAAGCAGCAGTTGTGAGTCTGTCCGGGGCAGTGCAACCCTGTCCAAAACCAAAGATGGTAAATCCTTAGATACAGAGAGGCCTCCAGTCCACAGTCACTCTGTCTTACCAGCCTGTTGCACCCCAACCAGACCCCCACATCCTCCAGGCACCATGAAAGGGTGGTCACAGCATCACTCGCGTCACCCGGGATGGAGATGTATAACTGGGTATCATCTGCATATTGATGATACTTCATCCCATGGTGGCGGATGATCTCACCCAGTGGTTTCATGTAGATGTTAAAAAGAAGCGGAGACAGTACCGAACCCTGTGGTACCCCACAATGGAGAGGCCGTGGGCTGAGCCTTTTGCTCCCAATCAACACCGATTGGGATCGTCCTTGGAAGAAAGAAGAGAACCAGCGCAAAACTGTGCTGCCCACTCCCAACTCCCTAAGTCAACCCAAAAGGATACCATGGTCGATGATACTGAAAGCCACTGAGAGGTCAAGAAGAGCAACGACTACCCCCATCCCTCTCCCACCAAAAATCATCCATGAGTGCAACCAATGCCGTTTCCATCACGTATCCGGGCCTGAAACCTGACTAAAAGGGTCCAGATAATCCAACTTTAATACAAATTTAGTTTTACTTATTAGCAGACCATGTTTACATCTATCAGACTTAAGCTAATCATAAAGTTGAAGATAATTCATTTTAGTGAGTCTACTTTGAAGTTGAGTTCATATATCATTCCAGAACAACATTGTTCGGCATGGTTTATTAACTAATCTATAATTGGCTGAGTTTACACAATGTATAAGATGTTTAACATAGTTTATAACCTCATGAGCTCATACACTGCCAATCAAATCACATTAAAAACATACTAACTTTGCCATGCAAGCATTAGCTTGGACAGGTGCAATATGAAGAATCATTCACAAACGTTCTCACTGCTTCTAGAGAAACTGGGGAAGGGACTGATTCATCCCCACATTCTTACAGGTGGAGGAATTGGAGGAATCTATTTACCAGCAGAGATTACATAGCAAACAGACAAGAATGAACACCTTTTGAGAACAAAGATGGTATCCCTCAGTCAATTTAAATGAATGAGATTTAGAGTTCACAGAGACTATAGGTTCCTGCCTGCTGGAGAAGACTCTTAAGAGTC